AGAATAAATCTCTCCGATTTCAGTCTAAACAACTAATTTAATAATAATTATATAATTCTTCTTATTCTAACTAAAACCAAATACTTCCTCTATAAATCATTTGATTTCTTTAAAATCAATTTTTATATATCCCCATTTGAATTCAGCAATTTTATTACATTTCTTATTAGAATCTTCAAAGGATTGAATAATAATAGTCTAAATAAAAGCTTTAAAACTATTATTAAAGATATTGCTATTCAATTTAATAGTTTTGAGTTGAGTTATAAAAGAAGCGATTTCCTCAGGGATCTATTTTGTATTAGGAGTACAAAAAACTCTAATAAAAGCAAATATTACTTTAATAATAGATTTAGATAGTATAATTACAAAATAGTTATTAATATTATAATATAGATTTGTAATTCAATCAGAAAGAATCTATAGATTATTATATAACATATATATGAAAAATGTTATATAAGCCAAATAAAGACTTGTATTTTAAAAAAGTGGTATTTTTAGAAATGGGAACCTATGTATACACTCCATTTTTGATAAATGCGAAAACTCACACTACCGAGCCAAACAAGGCCTTAGGTTTGGCACGCTATAGTTTTCCCCGCAAACTCAATTCCAGCTTGATAAGAAGTCAAATATCACCAAATTGTTGACTTCAATACCATTTTAACAATCCATTTTGAATAAAGTGTGAAAGTGCAATCTCTTGCCCGAACCAAACCCTTTCCATTTGGGATTGGCTAGAGAAAGAAATTTCTACAGACTCTTGTCCTTCATCTTCTCAATAGCCAAGAGACTCACGTTGCATTCGAGTGGCTCGCTCAGGAGGCTTTCTTAAACTACACACCGATCGGAAAAAGGTATTTATTTTGCTAGCAATTGATCTTATTGTGACAGTGAGTTGAGTGCCCATTCATAAGTAGGTACGATTTCGTTAACCTTCACATTCTTTACCCTCGTGTTTTTTACTGGCATAGCACATTCCAAAGCCAGCACATTATCACGTGTCAAATGGATTCCAACGTCCATTGTCAACGCCCGCCACCCTTCCAATGAATATCATATCCCATCATGGAAGTACCATACAATAATATCTCAATTCTGTCAGATACGACCCTTTATCTTGCACACTTCGATCATGAATTCTGCAAGTTTAACGCCGAGAACGTCGAGAAAGGTTTAGTCCACAAATTCTAATCGGAAACATCCTGCACAAAGTACAAAACGATGAGTTTACAGGATGTAGAGCCTCGAGCTCTGGAGACTATGGACGAAGACAAACTGTGTGAGACAGAGAACACAGAGAACAATGCAGTAGTACTTGTCGAACATCTGCCACAAATTGTTCGAGAATCAACGCTCCTTCCAGCACCCATTGCCAATGCTATTAGCTTGGTTACGAGGTCCTCTTTTCTTTATATTCGACTTTGCACATTCATAGGAGGTCTTGCTTTAGATGGCGCACGAGTAACAACACTCACCGGCCTAGAACTTAGTCGAGCTGTCATCGAGGGGATAATACATCGTGCTGGAAAAGATGTGGTCAATCGAAGTATCGGAGAAGTGGGAAAGTTGGAAGCAGAAGGATTATTGGAACGAAGTATTGCAAACCTACATGCAACTATTACAGGGATATCATTTGCTGCTTCTACTGGTTTTCACTTCTCTTCAGTAGCTTTGTCTTCAGCTACAGATATTTCACAACAGCTACTTGGTGCCCTGGATTCAGTCCTTGGTTCAACTGATTCTTCGAGGGCTATCGCAAGTATCATTACTCTAATCCGACGAGAATTTCAGAACCCCGCTACGGGAGTTGAAGGAGAAAGGGTCAGTGTAGGAGATCTTTTATTGGGTATTTGCGGGTTGGCTTTATTGCAAAGATGGTGTCGCAGATTGACTGATTTTGAATGTCGAGAAAACAGGTATGAGGAAGTTCTTTGGGATGTGGTTGTGCTTGACGATGGCCGGCGAGCCGACGTGGTTGATACGATCCAAGGAGATTCGTACATTCACCAGAACGATCATACCAAACTATCCTTCATGAATACAAAAGGCGGTGAAATGTTAGAGACGATTGAAAGAGAAGAGCCAAGCCAGACTGACAGGGAAAACGACAAGGCGGAGCGTGTATTGAGGCAGAGGTTACTACAATCCCTACCTTCCGATGCCTCTGTCTCTATCACAACATCTACCATGACAACTACTACAAAAACAATTATTGTAGAAGTTTCGGGATTTGAGCCTCCTGTTTTTTTACCACCTCCCGGGGTAGAAATATTGGAAGAACATGCTATTAATATTGAAACACCAGGCCTAACAACAGGGGACGAACAACCCGATATGGCGTCGGTACCAAGGTATAGAGTTGTATATGGTATAGTCGGAAATAGTCTACGAAATACGAGCGTTACAGAAGAGGATTTATATCAGAACATCGATGAAGATGCGGACAGTGGTCATAATTCGGGTAATGATCACGAAGCTTCCAATGCCGCTACTCTAAACAGGACACCTAATCTGAATATCATAGACGAGCCTTTGCCTGCAAAGGATGTAGGCATCGTTCGCCGAAAAAGTCTTAGTGGCAAGTCCAAGATTCCTAGACTTTCATTCCCAAGCACTTTGGATGAGAAACTTGAAGAAAGTATGGAAATGTATCATTCAATCTCGGCGAATCAAAAGAGATCAAGGAAGCCTATCAGCCCAATATCATCGAATGATAGTCCTAAGCAACAGTCTCTGAAGCAGATATCGAGTCACCGAGTAGCCAAGAAACCTAAGACCGAGGGACCAATGGCCGAGGGACAAGAAAAGAAACCCTCTTTTCGCCAAGCGTTGAAGGGGCGATCTAATATCAAATTGTTGAATCTGTCCAACAAGGACGGATGTAGAGAAGACGGCAAACCCAAAATTCCACCTCGGCCTCGCCCAACATGGAGCGACCCTACTCATGCCTCGACTGTCAGATCTACATCATCTCATTTATCAGTCCTTCAAAAGCGATCAAATAATGTTATGGGCTCTCCAACACCTTTACGTGGAAATCAAATTCCCTTAACGTTGGAAAATCTTGACAAGATTCAGCCTGACTCACCTCGCACTCCATCCAGTACTAACTTTTACACGATTCACGAAGAACGAAAAGATTCGATGGTTTCACAGACTGACACTTATTCAATCCACTCTTTTGATCAATTCCGTTCTCATTCTCCAATTATGGCGAGGAATCGATTGTTAGGGCAGAAAAATGCTATGAAACTAAGATCGGAGAGAAGTATGACCCTCGAACAGTCACTTCAGTCACTTCCAACCCCTAAGAGCCATCGCCGTACACATTCAAACGAAGAAAGCATATTCACATTGAATACAAACAATTCCGAAATTTGTCTCATCCCAAACTCTCGAATCGAGAAAGGAACCTTTGAAGGCAGAGAAGCACTTGATTGCCTGATGCGTACTGGTCTAATCAATGGCACATTTCCCAAACGTCACATCGTACAAAATATAACACGTTTCGTCAAGTTTGCATCTGCCTCTTACGGCTCTAACTTTCTTCGAGTTATGGGTATATCTGACCCTAGTGCAAGGAAAGAGCTTGATGCAATACATCATCTTGAACATCAATCATTTTCATCCCATACACAACTCCCCGCCGACACTATTCTCTTGTCCTCATTCGTCGATCCTCAAGGCGGAACGGATTCCAGCGGACTCACGAATACTGGTGTCCCTATGGTACATTACGTTTCACTTGATCATCAATCACAGGCTATCGTTTTGACATGTCGTGGTACTCTTGGGTTTGAGGACGTTCTCGCCGACATAACTTGTGATTATGATGAGCTTGTCTGGCGCGGGAAAGCATACAAAGTCCACAAGGGGATTCATGCTTCTGCTCGTAGACTTTTTCAAGGTGGTGGAGGCCGCGTTATGGCCACAATCAAAGCAGCGCTTGAAGAATTTCCTGATTACGGTTTAATTATTTGTGGTCATTCACTGGGTGGAGGCGTAAGTACTTTGTTGGCGATCATGATTTCCGAACCTGTTAGCGACGGCACATCCTTCGTTACTTCATATACCCCCGAGTATTCATTTACTGCCGTTGATGCCCCGGATAATTCTTTCCATATACTGCATCTCCCACCTGGCCGACCAATTCATGTCTATGCCTACGGTCCGCCTGCAACTGTTTCTTCTTCCCTCCGATCTGCAACCCGAGGTCTCATCACAACAATTGTCAATGGAAATGATCTTGTCCCTCGTCTCTCCCTTGGTCTACTTCATGACCTTCAAGCCGTGGCGCTCGCTTTTAAGAATGACAATTCTGGTGCGAAAGGCGAGGTAAAGAGAAGGGTATGGACGGGGATGAGTAACTCGTTTTCTGAGAGATGGTATGGACGATCTGGACATGGAACTGATGAAGAAGAAGAAGACAAATGGGCATATGCTGCACTCAAAGCGCTTAGAGCTTGTATGTTGAGCAATAAGCTGGTACCACCTGGAGAGGTCTTCGTGGTTGAGAGCATGGCTGTCTTGAAGCGAAATACTTTTACAAGAAAAGGTGACATGAGCGATGGACGAAATAGTAAAGGGGAAGGTGGATTAGGCAAACCCGCAACCAGAAGTGTGTTGAAGTACGTGAGAGATGTGGAAAAGAGGTTCGGTGAAGTGAGGTTTGGGGGGAGTATGCTGTTGGATCATAGTCCGGGTCGATATGAAAATAGTTTGAGTGCACTGGGGAAGGGTGTTCTCGGAGATCTATGAATTTTAGGATATAATGGGATAGAATGCCTTATTACATATCCATGACAAATTCAGATTCGACATATCAAAGGACCTCTTAGGCTCAGACATGATTCATTCAATATCTACTTGGTCTGCAATAATAGACAATCTTTGCGAAAATTCTTCATTCATAAGCCACGGTGTCTTGTCCTTGGAAATTATCTTTCCAAACACGAAAGACTGGGTGGGTTGCGGAGTTTATCCTCAGGAATGTTTGTTTGATGTCGTTATTTTCCATGCCAGACAACATTCTTGATCCACTTCCTTCTATGTTTTCATTCCTACGCGTTCAAACTCAACCCATCCAAGGGCGTTGTAAAAGAAAGTTCCTTTTATAATTTATCCCACGCCGGGTAATTGGGTTAGCTATTACCAAATTTCACCATTATGTTGAGCCAAGATGGCTTCATTGATTATCTTCTTTGCCATTTCGGCATCTTTCGTTGCAGCAACACGACATTCATTACCGGTAGTGGACCTAGGATATTCTAGACACCAAGCTACCATTGAAGTATGTTGCCGATGTGCCAATCACACGTTATCCTAAAGCTAACATCTCCACGACCACTAGCCACGGAGGATATTACAACTTCTTGAATATTCGATGTGGAGAAGCTCCTATTGGCCCACTACGTTTTTCCAGACCTGTTCCGCCGCGAACTGTCAATCGGACTATTAGTACCGGCCAAGAAGCAAGAACATGTTATCAAGCACATCCTCTTTGGTTGAATACGGCATGGCAACGTATTCAAGGCGTACCGTTAGATGAGATTAAGCCAAGCTCATTTGATATCAACAACCCACCCTCGCATGATGCCAGTCAATCTGAAGATTGCTTATTTCTCGATGTTATGGCAACTACTAAAATCTTTGATAAAAATTCAAACACCGAGCCTTGCGATGAAGGATCGGGGGCCCCTGTTCTAGTTTGGATTGATGGAGGAGGTTTTACTGGCGGTTACAAACATGAAACAAATCCTGCAGGACTGATCAAAAACTCAATAATACTGGGAGAAGAGTTTGTGTATGTTTCTATCAACTACCGACTTGGTCTTTATGTGAGCATGTCCATGATTATTCTTCTGAGATGACCAATGCTCATAATATCAGGGCTTTCTTGGTGGACCAACTTTGAGATCCAATGGAGATGCAAACGCAGGTCTACTTGATCAACGACTAGCTTTAGAATGGGTTCAAGAATACATACATTTGTTTGGAGGTGATCAGAATCGAGTAACAGTCATGGGTGAATCAGCCGGAGGTGGTTCTATACTACATCAGATTACAGCGTTTGGTGGAATGCGAGGACCTCCACCTTTTCAACAAGCGATTTTGCAGAGTCCAGGCTTTCAGCCAAATCCTGGAAGCATCCAGCAAGAAAAGATATTGTATTATGTCTTGAATGATGCAAGTATATTCTCAAACAGGTCTATTACAACTATTGACGACCTACGTTCACTCGATGCTCGGACTTTGGCTAAAGTTAATGATTTTATCGTTGCAAATTCTTATTACGGCCTGTACACCTTTGGTCCAACTGTAGATGGACACTTCGTACCTGCACTCCCCGGTCAGATACTAGCGGATAAGAAATTTCATACTTCGTTGGCACTAATGATAGGGAGGAATGATCAAGAAGGTGTTCTATTCACTTCACCGTACATTTCCACCAAAGAAGAATACATCTACAACGTCAAGTGGTTCTTCCCAGACGCCCCATCAAACACCATCGATCACATAGTCTCTCTCTATCCCGATCAACTTGATGGATCGTATGGTTACACGAATGAAATGTTACGAGCAGCTGTCACCAGTGCTGAATCATGTTTTACCTGCAATACAAGATACTTGAATGCCAAAGTACGAAACAACTCATATGTCTATTCATTCAATGTGCCTCCGGCGCTACACGCAGAGGATGTCGGATATACATTCTATAATGGTCCTGGAAGTCTCACTTGGGATGGGAAGCCTGTGTTTGGAGGAGCTGCACTCTCTTTGCAGGATTATATCGTCAACTTTGTGGCAACTGGTACACCAAACGGCAGAAGAGTTCCCGAATTTCCACTTTACGGTGATGAATCGAATGTTCTCAGTATCAACTCATCATTTTTGGGAACTGTCTCTATTGATCCTGTCGGTATCAACGGGAACACCTTTCAGGTCTACGATGGTAGAAAGCCCGACGGGTGTTCAGTATTAATACTTTATAAAACTTATTGATTGCTATTCTATATAATAAAGACTATATATATATTGAGATCCATTCACTAATACTTCCTCTAGCCCTTTATTAATACGGCACCAATGCTCCGATATAATAGATAATTATATCGATATTAGCAACTCTTTAAAATCATATAAAACCGTATCCAAAGAGTATATTAGTTCTCTATCCTGTAGATTCCTGTGAATCTCTGAAAAACTCTTTTCAATTCTTGTAAACTCTTACAAATTTCTGTAAACCCTTTTCTTACTTGTATTCCATCTATTCCATTATTTTAATCCTAACCTTATTGTCATCGATTAGTCCTCTCTTCGAATTGTCCATCTGCTATTAGATATATTTATTGAATGCTTTTGTATCTTTCTCTTTTAGGTCAACAATCTGGGCAGTAACAGAAAAATCAAACAATACCTCTGATTAGTATACAGATACAATATAAACTTTTTATGTTTTAATTCAATATAAATAAATAATATTTTCTAAGCAAAACCGAAAAACATCTTATTCATGTAGTCAATATACTCCTTATCAATTTTATCTTGATAAAAGATTGAAAATTGTGATCCTTGATCAATTTAATTAGTTTAATCAATTTTGATTGATTTGATCAACTTTGTTGATTTGATCAATTTGATCAATTTTGATTTAATTGATTTAATCAATATTAATAACATTAAATAGATTACTTCAGGCATAACTATATAATTATATAT